GCCTGGTCTAGCCATTGCTTGTGGCCAGCTCCCACTCTTTCTGCTCAAATTCTTCTGCTGTGTCCCCTCTTCATCCCATTCTTAGTGTACCCAAATCTCTGTCTTCTTTGCCCACAGACGGAATCTGAAAAGTCCTTGTTCTTTATCATCAGTACAAATTGACATTTGTGTGTCTCTCTCCTTTACCAGCATTCCAGACTACTTCTGGGGACCATCGTGTGTACATTAAAGGGTTTGTGAAGGGCCCTCTCTCATTTAAAGTGACTTTATCCAAGAAATAATTTACCCCCGAATGAATTAGTTTATCCCCTAGAATGAAAATTGCTGCAAATTTTTGGGAAGGGCAGTTTACAGAGTAGAGTGTAAAGAAAACTGTTGGAGAAATAGACCATATTTCTGCGTGGAGAGACTCTCTATGGTAAGAATGTCAGTTCTTCCTAAATTGATATCTACACCAAAATAATTTCCAGATGAATCAAATGTTAAACATTTTTTTAAAAATGTATAAAAAACTAAATTGTAATTAATCTGGATAGTTATGCAAACTCTGAAAGGAGAACACTCTAATAGTTTTTTAAAAATGGGAAAATTTGGAGAGGGTGTTTGGGTTATGGACATTGGGAAGCGTATGTGCTCTGGTGAGTGCTGTGAAGTGTGTAAACCTGGTGATTCACAGACCTGTACCCCTGGGGCTAATAATACATTATATGTTAATTTAAAAAATGGGAAAATTTGACTATGAAAGTTAAGGTCATTGTACTTAAGAAAAATCAAAGTGGTTAAAAATTTGGTAGCAATTATGATAACATAAACTTACATCTTATTTTAATGAATGGTTCATATAAAGGAAAACAAAGCAGAAAGCTTACAATGTATAAAAGGACAAAACGTTAGACAATTAACTAAAGAAGAAATATCACAAGTTAATAATTACAGAGAAAGTGTTCAAACTCTAGTAATCAAATGAATTTAGATTCTTTAAAAAAGAAGACCATTTCTTACTTCTAAACTAGCAAAAAAAATTTTTTTAAATGTATAAAGACATGCTGGTGAATGAAATATCACTGCTCCACATCAGTGAGTTATATAACCTGCGACAATTATTCATAAAATTCCTTAAAACAGTTCACACATTTCAGCTTAATGACTCTATGTGGGGGGAATTTATGCCAAGGAAATAATCTTAAAATTTTCACACAAATTTATTAATTGTAGCATTAATTATAAGATCAAAACATTGGGGAAAAAATCCTCATATCCAACAGTTGGGTAAAGTGACTTGTGGAATATGTAGTTCCTTTGAAATAACATTTTTTTTTTTTAAGATTTTATTTATTTATTTGACAGAGAGAGATCACAAGCAGGCAGAGAGGCAGGTAGAGAGAGATGAGAAAGCAGGCTCCCTGCTGAGCAGAGAGCCCGATGCGGGGCTCGATCCCAGGACCCTGAGATCATGACCTGAGCCGAAGGCAGCGGCTTAACCCACTGAGCCACCCAGGCGCCCCTTGAAATAACATTTAAAGTAATTCTGTAACAACACGGGAATGTTTATAGTAGTAAACAGAAGGCAATGTTGGTCAATAAAAATGTTAAAAATTTGTCTAAGCTAATTGTTAGGAAAACAAACATTAAACACAATGACCTATCACTACACACCCACCAGATTGGCTAAAATTAAATAGAGCAAAAATACCAACCACGGATGAGAATGTGACCCAATAAGAGTGCTCACGCGTGGCTTATGGATGTGTAAACTGGACCTGTTTGACACCATCTAATGAAGGGGAAGGTTTGCATACCCAGTGATCCAGTTGTTCGGTGAGCACCAGGGCACAGGAATGTACTAGAACGCTCAGTGCAGCAGTGTTGGGAATAGCCTGAAACTAGAAATGTCCATGAGCAGTAGGAGGGACAGATTGTGGATCACTTGTGCAATGAGACAGAACGCAATAAAATGAACAAATGACAGCTTAAACATCACAACATAGATTATTTTCACAAACATAATGTTGAATGAAAGAAGCAAGTCATAGAAAAATATGTGTTTATTATTTCACATATAAAGCTCAAAGATAAATGAAAGGAAGCTCTCTTGTTTAGAGATACCTACAAAGGTAAAACGATAAGAAATGCATAATAGTCAGGGGAAGATACCTCGGGTAGGTTGGAGGAGTTGTGCTCGAGAAGGAGAGGAGGAAAGAGGATGGATTCCTTGGCTCTGGGAGGTGTTTGTCTTCTTGACCTGGGATATGATCAAAGATGGAGGCAGACACTGGAGTGGTACATCTACAAGCCAAGGAATACCGAGGATGGTCAGCCATCACCAGAAGCTGGGAGAGCAGCATGAAACAGGTTCTCCCTTGAAGCCCTTAGAGGAAGCCAACCCTGCTGACACCCTAATTTCAGACTTCCAGTCTCCAGAACTGTGAATACATTTCTGTGGTTTTAAGCAGCCTAGTTTGTGGTAGTTTGTTAGGGCAGGTCTAGTAAACTATCACATTGTATTTTCACATTAAGAATATTTATTGGGGCACCTGGGTGGCTCAGTGGGTTAAGCCTCTGCCTTCAGCTCGGGTCATGGTCTCAGGGTCCTGGGATCGAGCCCCGCATCGAGCTCTCTGCTCAGCAGGGAGCCTGCTTCCCTCTCTCTCTCTTTCTGCCTGCCTCTCTGCCTACTTGTGATCTCTCTGTCAAATAAATAAATAAAATCTTAAAAAAAAAAAACATTTACTAAGGGGCACCTGGTGGCTCAGTCTGTTAAGTGTCTGCCTTCAGCTCAGGTCATGATCTTAGGGTCCTAGGATTAAACCCTGGGTGGGGCTCCTTGTTCAGCGGGGTGTCTGCTTCTCGCTCTCCCTCTGCCCCTCCCCACGTTTGTGCTCTCCCTCAATCACTTTCTCTCAAATAAATAAAATACTTTTTTTAAAAGAATATTTATTAAAAGTTTCCAAGAATTCATATTTGGGGTCTCTAATTTCTTGAATAAGTCACAAAATCTAAAATAAAAAGTACTCAAACCATCCTACTTTATATATTCTCTTTATATATTCTCTGGAAAATTTGCACTCAAAGATACAATTCAAATATTAAAACTAAAGATCTCCTATTCAGAACAGAAATCTATGCAGCACGTGTAGTTGTACCAAAAGGTCAAGGATCAATTGTAAATATCCAAGTACATTAAAAAATAAAGGACACAGTTTGTTCCAAGTTGGCCTGTAAAATTTTCATCCTGACCCTTTGATTCCTTTCCTTACTGGAAATTCTCCAGTGTCTGAAGTGACCCCGCATTTGGCTTCTGAGGAGCCATTCTTATTCATTCTATTTCTCTCCAGAGCAAAGAAGGGCTGACCCAGAAAGACACCTGACCCAGAACATCTCCAGGGTTGAATATTGATGCACACAGATGGTTCCGTGAGAGACCATTTTTGGTTATAAGTCTGCTCTCTGCAGGTTGGGAGAACAGACAGCCTCTGAGTTTACGGAGCAAAAGTGTTCTCAGAAACCTCACTGGGGGGTTGATTTTGTATAAGGTACTGAGCACATATGTGGGCGTATTGTCCTTCTTAAGTAAGTTCCACATGATCACGGGATGCCATTAAAAAGGCATAAAGAAGCAATACATGAAAAACAGGTTTTTTTAAACATTCACAAAGTGCAAGGTGATTTCTCTAGTTCTTTCAAGTTTTCAAGTACCAAAAGAGAGCACAGTACAGGAAAGATTTCTTCTAGAAAAATCACGAGGTAGGACAGTACAGCGGTAAGAGGTTTTGAAGCCAAGCTGTCTGCTTTCAGACCTCCATTCCATTGTTTCTTAGCTTGATGTTGTTATGAGCCTCTCCAAGTACGAATTTCTTCATCTGTAAAATTAGGCTAAAAATTGCACCTAGGGCAGAGGGTTGCTAGGTAGATTCAATGAGGCAACATATGAGAAGCATTTAGCTCAGAATGTGGCAAATGGTAAGTGCTTAATAAATACTAGTTGCTGAAATAATCATCATCATAATAAGAAAATCTTTCCAGATTTAAACTTGAAGGAGCTATAAAAATTTCCAGTAGAATTCATTATAGAGTAAGCCCCCTAGGGGTCGATGCATTCACCCCATTAAGTTAGGCAGAGAAGGAAAATTTCAGCTTCTTAAGTTGACTATGCTAGTACTTAACACACTCTATCAGAAAAACAAAATTCACTTCGGTTTTCTGGTGAGTTAGTTAAGTGGGTCTGGTTAAGTCATTTCTGCAGGGCCTTCCAAACAGTACAAATTTGTATTTCTAACAACCATTATCAGCCAAAAATCAAATACATCTCTAAGTCATTCTCTTCCTTTCAGTGAGTATTTCTATTATACTGGCTTCGGCCCCTTTCCAAGCAAATTATGACCTTTAGGCTAGCTTGGTGGTCACAGGGTTTTTGTGTTTTGTGTTTCCCCAGCTGTACTCTGAAGGAGCCTTAGACTTGGGTGGCCCTCCTACCAGCTGTTTGCAGTCAGAAGAGGGCAATTTCCATAATCCTAAAGTTTGCTTGGACCAAACTTTCGGGGTTTCCAGCTTTGAAAGAGAAGAAAGACATGATTTTGTGAAATATTCAAAGAAGTTGATATTTAAAACCACCTGTCTGAGCTCCAAAGTTTGCAATATAACCTTTATTTTCAATGATATTTACTATTTTATCGATAAAAGCTATTTACCTACAGGAATCACTTTGTTTTCCCCAATCCATCTGGGGGTAAGAACTCAAACTCAACGGAGCGCTCCAGCTCTGCGGTGGAAATCTGTCCTTCTCCCCCCATCCAACCCCGGTACATTTGCTGCTTGTCCAGGAGGTGGCACTATTGTTTCAAACGTCTGGCTTCCGCTGGGGCCCCCAAAAAGGACCCTGGAAAGAATGGGTTATGGAAAGCAGTCAGAGGTGAAAAGGGAAGCAGCGAGGAAAAGTCTAGAAACCGGGAATAATGTCAAAATATGTTTGCGTAATTGGCTTCCTCCATCTCCCTTTCTAGGGGCCAATGTGAACATGAAGACCAACAACCAGGATGAGGAGACGCCCTTGCACACGGCCGCCCACTTCGGCCTCTCGGAGCTGGTGGCCTTCTACGTGGAGCACGGGGCCATAGTGGACAGCGTGAACGCCCACATGGAGACGCCGCTGGCTATCGCCACCTACTGGGCCCTTCGCTTTAAAGAGCAGGAGTACAGCAGGGAGCACCACCTCATCTGCCGCATGCTGCTGGACTACAAGGCCGAGGTCAACGCCAGGGACGATGACTTCAAATCGCCGCTGCATAAGGCGGCCTGGAACTGTGACCACGTGCTCATGCACATGATGCTGGAGGCGGGCGCGGAAGCCAATCTCATGGATATCAATGGCTGTGCTGCCATCCAGTACGTGCTGAAGGTCACCTCTGTGCGCCCCGCTGCCCAGCCCGAGATCTGCTACCAGCTCCTATTGAACCACGGGGCTGCTCGGATATACCCGCCACAGTTCCACAAGGTGAGGCTACGAACAAGGGTACCCAGTACTGAACCCCTTAGTCAGCAGGGTCCCCAGAGACTCTGAGGATGGCTGGCTCCCTCAACTCTGGTGGTAACTCGAGCTTCTTTGAAGCTTGAGTCTCTGGCTAGCTTCCTTTGCTTCTCCAGCTGGCCTCACACTGACACACACGACCCTGGTGACTTGGTTCTGGTCCAGGTTGGTTTGAAATCTGGGACGGAGGGGTGCCTGGGTGGCTCAGGTTATGGTCCCAGGGTCCCTCTCATCTGGCTCCCTGCTCAGCGGGAAGCCTGCTTCTTCTTCTCCCTCTCTTGCATGCTTTCTTGCTCTCTCTCTCTCTGTCAAATAAATAAATAAATAAAATCTTAAAAAAGAAAGAAAAAAATCTGGGGCTGAGAGCTAAGAATGAGAACAAGAGTGGGAGATAATTTTCCATGCCTCATGTGAGCCCCAGTGAAGAAAGCCACTTTAAGACTCCTGCAGAGGCCAGTGGTGTCGGACAGGAAAATACTTGCTATCTTTTGAGCAGGATGTGTTTTAAATTACGTATGGAATTATTCTTGCTTTAGATTGTTATCTCTGCCTTGTCATTTATAACTCGTTCATTCTGGACTTAGCCGAACTACTATTCATGCCAGGAAAAAAGAAGCCTCGACTTTGGGGTCAAACAAACTTGGGTCTTGCCACTTGTCCAAGAATTTGACTTTGAACACATTACTTAAGCCTCCAGAGCCTCAGTTTCCTCCCCTGTGAAATGGGTACACTCTGCGTTTATGAGATTGCAATAATAGGCAGACGAGGTCCTACATTAGAAGGAGATTAATCCTACTAATAGCACACAGATAGACTCAGAGCTCAGAGGATGGTGCAAACCTTTTTTGCTCTTCCTCTTGAGTCGCTGTCCGTCCTTGCAGAGTGCCTGCCTCCACCCCTTCTCACATCTGCAAGTACCTCTCCCTTGGTCTATGTCCATCTTCTTGCACCACCTGCATCTCATGAGTTGGACCATCTTCATCACACAGCTTCTAGAAGACAATTACTCTGTTTCTACTATGGCTCACTCCACAAAACATAATTTCACGTGTATTTTCTAAGGCTACCTTCTTTCCAGAGAAAAGGATGGAGAGGGAGGAAGGACATGGAGGCATACCTCACTTTATCTGTGAATAATAATAACCTTCTCACAAGTTTGCTTTGAGGATGAAACAAGATAATATTTGAGAAGTGTTGACCCTGTGCCTGGTGCATGGCAACCATTAGAGACATGGCGGCCGTCACTATTTGTTATTATTACATGGTTGTTGATTAGTGGAATCAGTGCTCTGGGCCTGGGTTAGCCACAGGGGCCTCTCCGACCAGGAGAGACAATGTGTGAGACTGCGCACAGACGAAATGTCGTGTTTTAGCCTGAAACTCACTGCTGGTTGACCGTGGATGAAACGGTTCTCTGCGAAAGTAGCTAGACCATCCTTTCCTCTTCCAAATTGTCCCCTTTGAGAGTCAGATTAAGGAGAACAGACCTTCGCAGGGAGTTTCTGCTCTCCGGTGAGAAGTCTCGCAAATGTGAAGAAGGTCCCCAGGTCCTCTCAGAGGTGACAGGGAGGAGGAGGAGGAGCAGAGGCTTAGTGCTGAGTCCTGACTTGGCCATTTATGTGTGTTACGATTTCTGAACAAGTGTCTGATACCTCAGATCTTGATTTCCTCATTTAAAAGAAAAATAGGGTGCCTGGGTGGCTCAGTGGGTTGAGCCTCTGCCTTCAGCTCAGGTCATGATCTCAGAGTCCTGGGATCGAGTCCCACATCAGGCTCTCTGCTCAGCGGGGAGCCTGCTTCCCCCTCTCTCTGCCTGCCTCTCTGACTACTTCTCTGTCTGTCAAATAAATAAATAATTTTAAAAAATTAAAAAAATAAAAGTAAAAATATCAGCTTTTCCAAAGTGTTTCAGGAAAAAGTAGGTAAGATACATCCATCATTCGGCCCAGTAGTGGCGCTCAACAAAATTGTTTTCCTTCATCTTCCTCCTCTCAAAAGGTACACCTCGTCGCCTGGAGTCTGTCCTCCTCACCTTGCTTCGGTGGCTCCTCGAGCCCGTGAATTCAGTGTCTCTTTATGTGTTCCAAGGACATTATCCAGAGTTAGCGTGTTCTTATTCCATTGTATTTCTGTCCTCTGAGCTCCTCCAGTTTGGCCATATGCCAAAGAGATTTAGGACGGGATTGGCTACTGGTTGATGGCTGGTATTATAAACATTTTTGTTGCTACCCAAAAGACAGTGTGAGGGAACTGGCCCCCTTCCAAAGGAAAACTAAAGAAAAACTATTCAATTTACTATGCAGATGCTTCAGAGTGATTTAACACAACTACTCCACAGCCCAACTTTCCAAAGAGAAAGTCATCTTTACGACAAGTAAATGACTGCCTCATTTATCCAGAAGATAAAGTGATTTGTTCTCTTGTGGATGGGGAATTCAGTTTCCTTATTTACAAGGAACAAGGTCAGAGCTGAAGATGCTGTCTTCCAAATACAAAGCAAATTTGTAGAGGGTGTATTTCACTGAAAGCCAATGTATAAATTACATAAAGGGGGAAAAAAAAGAATTATAGGGTCTGCAATTGCTTTCCAGGGTACAAAAGGACATTTGATTTTTTTTTCTCCTGGCATAATTCAGAAGGAAGTGACACCCCAGGGAGCCAAGATTGGGTTTTCTTGTAGGGCAAGAAAGACATTTTTCTAGGGGAGGGAAAGGTATGTGAGAGTTTGGGGGAGGTAAGGATGATTTCTGCTGTTGAACAATGTTGCAAATGAAGCCCAGAGTACAAGCAGTCTCTTTGATCATTAAGTACATTTCTGCACACAGATATATCAATATAAAGAGAATTTCTCGCCGAAGCGGCTTACAGAGGTGGCACTTGTTTTGGGAGTATGTCAGGGAGATTTATCTTGAATCTGTTTTTTAATTTATGCTTCCGGGGCCAGATGATGAGGACAAGTGTCTACAGTCCTCTCCAGGTGCCACCACTGTAGAAAGAAATTTTTGTCCGATTGCTCTTCCATGAAGAGAGAATAGAGACACAGAGACTCACAGAAAGTGAAATTCATTGGTCATCTTCTCAAAGAAACAGCAGAAACTTCTCTCCCTGAGTCCACAGCAGTCCTTTTTCATTTGATGGTCAAGGTTCCTGGTAGTCGGGGTAGAGTGATGATTTGGAGTTCAGTGTCCCGTAAGGATCTCTTTCAATGTTGTTGCCTAGTAGAATAATCACTGAGGCCTGAAGACAGTGTGTGCAACTGTCTTGGTTCTGGAAGAAGCCAGAACTGGCTTGCTAGTGAAGAGAGCTGGGAGGCTGTCAGGCTCTTCAGGAAGCCTTTCGTGCTGGGAGAACCATCTTCTGTAAGCAGAAAATGCAGGGGTCAGTGTCAGCAAAACCCCATGACAGCAATGGGAGCACTGGACTTTGTGCATCTAAAGACTGCAGGTTAAGAACCACTTAATTTCTTTTTCAGCCTAATGAAAGGTAATAAATTCTCTCCCTGTGACTTATGGGAGTACGCCAAGTGCCAACTGAGGCCTCAGATGTGAGAAGGAGGCTCCAGAAATATGAATGGATGGTGTTCCTGTATCCATAACTTAGTTTGAGCTGTTTCTGAATGGGGGCTGAGAACAATGTTGCCGAATAAAATATAGGATGCTCAGTTAAACTAAAGCTTAGGTATACAGTAAGTAATTTTTCACATAAATATGTGCCATGCAATATCTGTGACACAGTTATGCTAAAAATTCTGTGTTGTCTATCTGAAGCTCAGATTTAATCTGGCAGTCTATATTATTATTATTATTATTATTTGTTGAATCTGGGAACCCTAGTTGGGAAATAGGTAATGTGTTGCAAGAGGAGAATAACTTCTAGCCGCCTCTCTTCTGTGGTCAAGGTGTTGGTAGGAAGGGGAAGGTAGGGAATATCTGGGGACAAATTACATGTGTTGGGTAGGGGAGCATTTTGTCTTTAAATATAACTAGTACGGCTTCCATGAAGAGTGAGTGTGACTGGGGAACTAGTGTAGAGCAGAGGCCAGTTTTCTGAGGGGCCCCTTAAACCATGGGCAGAGCCTCATTACACACTTTCTGATTGCTCCATACTTTGTTGTTTTATAATTCCATTATAAGCATACTTTCATTCAAGCCTTGTATTAATTTCAGCTATCATCTCTCTACTAGTGACTCTTACACGTAAATCTCTATTCTGGATTATCAGCTGATCACCCATGTACTTCTCACCACAGATCATCCTTTCAGAAAGGATATCTGGAGGTCTTTAGAGAAGGATGTGGGGTTCCCGATGGTTGCTACGTTTATTTTACCAGCAACAGATTTACATTCGAAAGAGAATTCTTTTGAAATTTCAACCAAACTCAGCCTCATGGTAAAGAGTGTGGTTGTTTGTTTGTTTGTTTGTTTGAAAATATCTGTGCAATGAGATTTGTGTCCTTAAACTACTAATTTCACTGGCCATTATCTAAAAATTAAAACAAGGTTAATCAGAATATATTTGAAAGAGCACTGAACTCAAATTAGGAAGACGTGGTTCAGTCCTCATGCTGCTGCTTACGGTGTGCCTGTCTGGTTTCAGTTTTCTCATCCCCAGATTGGGGGGTGGTGATTAATCTGTAGGGTCTCTTGTAACTCTAGCATTCAATGGTGCTGTGATAGTTTATAGCTAGTGTACAAATTAATTACCCTCAGATTTTGTCTGTCTCTTTCACTTGGAGCTCCATAGCGGTCATCCTCATCCCAGCTCTAGAGAAAAGAGCAGCCGCAGTTGCCTTAATTTTCTAAGACCAAAGTGCTGAGAAATTCCCATCCTAAGGGCCAGGTACCGAGATGGGAGTCCTTCTGGCTACACTTTCTGTAGACACGAAAATGTGGACTCTGCAGAGGTCCTTGAGCCATGGGTCTCTGGGTCCAACCTATCTCCCTACCCACTTAGGGGTTGGTGATATAGGTCTGGTCTTCGTGTGGTGAGGCGCTACTGAAAAGGCCATGGTCAGCAGCTGCACTTTGTGCCCTGTGCCCAGAATATGCACGTGAATGGCTCCTCTGCGTTAAGCAAGTATTTACGTTGTGCTCATTTGGATCCAGCCACACTCACTGATGTAGAGCTTCAGTACATACCGGTCGTCTGTGATGGCTTCTGCCTGGGCTTAAATATGGGACAACTGGAAGCATCTGGCTGCTGGACATGGACTCACAGTGGCTCACGAGAGCTGAGAAATTATCGGGAATTGTGCAAGCTGGTTGTTAAGTGCAGCCATTACGAAAAATTAGATCAAGGGGCACCTGGGTAGGTCAGTGGGTTAAAGCCTCTGCCTTCGGCTCAGGTCATGATCTCAGGATCCTGGGATCGAGCCCCACAACAGGGTCCCTGCTCAGTGGGAAGCCTGCTTCCCCGCTCTCTCTGTCTGCCTCTCTGCCTACTTGTGATCTCTGTCTGTCAAATAAATAAATAAAATCTTTAAACAAAAAAGAAAAATTAAATAAACTTACAACAGAGTTTGTTAAAAACAAAGATAATAGACATTTAAAACATTATTTTCTAATTATTTTCTTTGTATTTCTTAGTTATTTTCCTATACATACCTATGCTCTTGATGTTACCTGGGTCTTTTACACCCGTGCAGTGGAAAGAGTGTGTAATGATTTGTTCCCGCCCATCTCTTCCCAACCATGCATTCAGTGACCTCAGGTTGGTAGCTGTGATTCAGCCATGATGGGAGGATTTACACCACAGAAATCAGCAAATGCTATTGATCAGACTTTGATTTATTGCTTTGCTAATGTCTACACCTAAGAAATTAGTGGTGAGAATGTTACTATCAAAGATTAAACTTGAAAGTATATAGTATTGGTAGCTCTGACATTATAAATAGCACAAAAAATGGGGAAATATGATCCCAGTATTCAAAAACTATTATATTTCAATAAAAAAGTAACTCATATTATTGATGAATGAGTGAAGTTCCAATATAGATCTTCATTGTTTCCCATTTGTGAAACAGTTACTCTCTTGTGTAATCAAATGACCAACCAACCTTCATTTAACAACCACATGGTATTCTTCATTTGCAGACATAGATTTTGGCTATGAATGCAATCTTATATCCATACAAAATTGATACAAAAATCAGTGAAAGCATTCTGAGAGAACCAATTAACTCTGCAAAATAGGAAATAAAAAGTACTGGTTATTTTATTATTCATAAAATGTGGGCTTCACATTCTTTATATTAGTAAAAATTTGTATCGCATTTATGTACATATAAATATACACAGAGTTGTTCCTCTTCCAGAAGACCTGTTATTGAACATATTTTTGCATGCCACTGACTCAAACCTCAGTTTCAAGAAGACTCCCTTATTACTTCTTGAGACCCTCTGATTGTCCCGTTGGTTGGGCTGACACAGTCCTCTACTGAGACCGGGCGTCCTGTTTTGACACTGTGCTCCAGTACATTCTTACAAATCTTTCTTTCCTGATAACCCCACTCTGATGACTCTGCTTCATCTGACCACATTTTGTTGCTCCTGATTCCTGCTGGGTCTGGGCCATTGCAGCTGGGTTTTGATGTGTTGTATTAGAGGAGAGCTGCCTTCTCCTTTATCTTATGCATTTGTAAGAGAAATTCTGCTAAAATGAAACCCCCACCCACCTCTGTCCCAAACCTTATCTTATTCCATTTGACCTACTGATGAGTTGGGTAGAAGAACTGAACTTGCTCGCTTAACTGTGAGCCTAGAGAAAACCTGAATTCTTGGTTCTTCTGTGGAGTAGGAGTCAGGGAACAAACTCTTTACACCAGGCAGAGGCCCATAGTTTGGGGATGCAAATTTAATCTTGGGGTAGACTGTTGGGAAGCTTGATGTGGTCCCATAATTCAACATCTTTTATGTAATTAGTATTATGAGTAATAAAAATGACATTGTGATCTCATCTCATTTTTTAATAGGTTCTAAACTCAGGAGGGAAAGTCATTTATTGGGTCTCTAAAACGCTGTATGCTGTGACGCCAAGGTCTTAAGGATGAGGATGGGTCAGGCCTAGTTACAACTGTGCATCTGTCCTCTATCTGTCTCTCATAGTCTGAGCCCTCCCTGTTTGAATCCACCCAACTCCTGGTAAGCTGGCCTTCTAATCAGATCTGGTGGTTTCTAATCTCTCTTCCTCTCCCTCATTCTTGTGGCTCTGGTGATAACCACCTTCCAGTGCTCTCCTCACTTGATGTCTTTCATTCTGATAGGCCCAATTTCCTTTTGACTTTTGGAGTCATAGGGACCTGAATTTGAATCCCAGCCCTATCATTTATTAACTAAATAACCTTGGGTTTAAACTTTCTCCGTCTTAGATTTTAAATCTGTAAAATGGGTATAAGTATAGGACTAACCTCATAGGGTGGTTTGAAGATCAAGCAAGGCAGATACGCAAAGATTTAACATAGTCCCTGACACATAACAAGTATGCAAAAAATGGTAGCTGTAACTTTTTTCCTTCCCTCTCTCTCCTGCCTGTTAGGCTTCCCCAGGCTTTTTTTTTTTTTTTTTTTTAAGATTTTATTTATTTATTTGACAGACAGAGATCACAAGTAGGCAGAGAGGCAGGCAGAGAGAGAGGAGGGGAAGCAGGCTCACTGCTGAGCAGAGAGCCCAATGCGATCATGACCTGAACCCAAGGCAGAGGCAGAGGCTTAACCCACTGAGCCACCCAGGTACCCCTCCCCAGGCTTTAGACCAGCGTCCTCTACCATTTCCATTTATTCCCATTTAGAGTATTACTGAGCAGTGTGGCATTAGCCAGCACATCCTTTAATGGTGCCCAAGTCTCCACCTCCATCTTGGCCTGCTCAGTGGAGCATTATAGTGCACATTTTTGACCGACATTAAGACTTTGCCTGTAACATATGCTCTTGCCCATGATCTGACCTTCCCCAAATTACCATGGTCTTCCCGTTTCCTCATTCCCATCAGTGGCACCCCTATGTGTCCTTGTTCTCAGGCTCGAAAGCCGCATTCTTTACTCCCCATAGCTGATTAGTCATTAAGCCCCATAGCTGATTAGTCATTAAGCCCTCCTCACGCTTTCTCAGAGCTCCGGTTGTCCTGCATTCTCGTGACTGACCGTGAAGCTAACTGAGAAGCGGTTTGGCGCTCTCTCACTCAGTCTCCACACTGCTCGCTGCCCTTGACATCCTTGTTTTCTCCTCTGTGCTTTTGTTCATGATGCTCAAGGGACACTTGATGATCTTTAAGCCAGTCTCTTATTATTTACTGACTTACACTGCTTGCTCTTTGAAATATGTATGTATTTTCTCTTCAACTAGGTTGTAAACTCCTTGAAGGCAAGAAACAGGTCATAAACTTCTCAGAATTACAGTCACAGGGCTAAACACTGTGCTCGATAAAGGCCTCCTAATGGAATGAATTGGTTGACTATAAGCCTCTCTTGTTAAGAACACGTAACAGTGTCCTATTGCCTGCTAAGCCAGTCCCGAGCTCTTCAGACTGGCATCGCAGGGGGACCATCCGCTGGTTCCATCCCCACATGCTCCTAACATCAGCTCTTTCCTGACATGGGCCCTCCTTTCAGGTGACACCACACACACATGCGCAGACACACACACACATACACACACTGAACTGGGCATTAGAATGATAATATTTCTGTCTCAGTTTTGCCTGGGGCTTCAAGACAGTAGGTTCTGAACAGCCCGCATTGGAAAAAACAATGCTGGATCACTTGTGATGAACGCATAAAGGAGTTGGGGAAACCAAGTGTTGTGAACCTTTGCCCAATGACAATAGGGCTGAGCGTGGCAAGGACTGGGAGTCAGGAAGAACTCTTTGAAGAAAGTCATTTCGGTGCAAAGGCATGTCTCCCTTCCAATGGCAGCGTTGGGGGGCTTTCTCCTCCTCTCACGTCCAGTGACGGGTCTTGAAAAGGACTCCACAGAGAGCTTGATAGATGTTTTCTGGAGTTCCAAGGGGAAAATGGAACCGATGATAAGAAAACTTAAAGGCAAAAGTCTTTGGCTGGTTTGGGTTATCTGTGACAAAGGAAAGAAAGTCGGGTAAATTCAGAGTCAAGAGTACTTTTGTGGCAGGTTCCCTGTGGACCAGTTTTGGGGAACGTCGCAGAACCATCTGGGTCCCTTTGACATGAAAACGGGCCACACTCAGAGGACTTCCGGAGATGGGTCAGTTTGGCAGAAAGAAGCCAGAGGTGTTCCGGTGGACACAGAAGCTGGTGGGGAGGACCGAGGGTTGCAGGGTAGAATGTGTCTTTCATCAGACTCCCCCTTCTTGGTTAGCTCCTCTTTTTTCACTTGTTCCTGAACGTTGAAGGAAGTTAGTGTGATTTTATTAATCCACCCACCTATGCTGGGACTAGCAGTGTGTTTGAAGACTCAAAGGCATGAGGCTTCCCGAAAGCATTTCAGGGTTCCAAGGAGCCTAAGGGATCCGTAGGTTCTCGATGTCTCTGTGAGAATGAATGAATCATAGATGTGCCTTGAACAAATAACGCTGTATGCTTCCTCTGCAGGTGATACAGGCTTGCCATTCTTGTCCCAAAGCAATCGAAGTTGTCGTCAACGCCTACGAACACATCAGGTGGAACGTGAAGTGGAAAAGAGCTATCCCCGATGATGACCTGGAGGTAAAGAATCCACGCGATTTCTGTGGTTTTCACCGTAGAATAGTTTAAGACTGCAGTGGTAGGACAGAAAATTCTAATGAAAAACCTGGTCTTGAGAATGTTTTTAAGACCTACTCAAATGCTGGGGCACCTGGGTGGTTCAGTGGGTTAAAGCCTCTGCCTTCGGCTCAGGTCATGATCTCAGGTCCTGGGATCAAGCCCCGCATCGGGCTCTCTGCTCGGCAGGGAGCTTGTGTCCCTTCCTCTCTCTGCCTGCCTCTCTGCCTACTTGTGATCTCTCTCTGTCAAATAAATAAATAAAATCTTAAAAAAAAAAAGACCTACTCAAATGCAACAAGACAAATGGTTATAAAACATGGGTGCAAGATGGGCGCCTGGGTGGCCCAGTTGGTTAAGCATCTGCCTTCCATTCAGGTCATGATCCCAGGGTCCTGGGATCGAGTCCGACATCGGGCCCTCCTGCTTGGCAGGAAGTCTGCTTCTCCATCTCCCTCTGTGTGTTCTCTCTCTTGCTCTCTCTTTCTCTCAAATAAATAAATAAAATCTTTAGAAAGAGCACAGATGTGAGAATAAATAGATGCATCATGTATGCAGCATTTGGGAATATCTTGAGGATTTCTCCATTTAAGTGCAAGTTGAACATTTGTATAAAGGTGACAGTTTTACTTTCTCCTCAGTAATTTAGATAATTTCATAATAAGAATAATAATAGTAATATTTGAGGTTTATATTGTTACCAGAAGATAAGTCTTTCATGCAGATTATTTTATTTGCTTTTTTGAAAAGATGTATTTATTTATTTTAGAGAGAGAGAGAGGAGAATGAGTGGGAGGGACAGAGGGAGAGGGAATCTCAAGCAGATGCCACACTGAGCATAGAGCCCCACAAGGGGCTCGATCTCACGACCCTGAGATCATGACCTGAGCCAAACAAAAGTGAGATGCTTAACCTACTGGGCCACCCAAGTGCCCCCATTCCATTCACTTTTGGTTATCTTGAAGACTTTAAATACATTAAAAATCCTTAATGAGTCATGCAGAAAACTATTGACAAAGCTGAGTTCGGACCCTGCAAACCGACTTTGCTGCCTTGGTCGACCAGACCTCCCACTGCGTCCTCTGTGTTAGCAGTCACAGGCTGTCTCCAGCATGCGTGGAGAGGTACCAGGCACAGAATGCAAAGTTCATGGGGCTCAGAACCTGATGGCTTAGGCGCAATCGTACTCTGTTACTTTGGAACTACCTTACCCTTAAAAAGTTACTTATAATCTGCGTCAGGGTCATTAATAGAATAAATATCTGAATGTGTGGGCCACATAAGGCATATAAAGGGTGTACAGTAGTTTTTTTTTTAATTTTTTAAAATGATTTTATTTATTTGAGAGAGAGAGAGCATGAGAGGAGAGAGAGATCAGCGAGAGAAGCAGACTCCCCGCCGAGCAGGGAGTCCGATGTGGGACTTGATCCCAGGACTCCAGGATCATGACCCGAGCCGAAGGCAGTCGCTTAACCAACTGAGCCACCAGGCGCCCCTACAGTAGTATTTTTTTTAAAAGATTTTATTTATTTACTTGGCAGAGAGAGACACAGGGAGAGGGGAACACAAGCAGGGGGAGCAGGAGAGGGAGAATCAGGCTTCCTGCAGAGCAGGGAGCCGGATGCGGGGCTCAATCCCAGGACCCTGGGATCACGACCCGAGCCGAAGGCAGACGCTTAACCACTGAGCCACCAAGGTGTACAGTAGTTTTGTGACTAATTTCAAATTGCAGTTTTGATATACGCTGGCCCAGACAGTTCACATGAGTATCTTTTATCTCATTTCCCAGGTTCTGAATTGCAGAACCATATCACCATCTCAGCCCCCGTCTCAATTTCATGTTTAATTTCGTCTCACTGTCAGAGACCCTAAAAAGCTGCCACTGTGTGTAAAGTAGGGACTAAACGTGTCATTGTTGATTTCTTTAGATGTAAACCCTGGGGCTTTTCTGCCTCTAACCCGTCTTGCCTTCCTTTACAGAGATACTGGGATTTTTACCACTCGCTCTTCACTGTGTGCAGTAACTCTCCAAGGACTCTCATGCATTTATCGAGATGCGCCATTCGAAGAACGCTGCACAACAGATGTCACCGAGCAATTCCTTTGCTTTCCCTCCCATTGTCATTGAAAAAGTACTTGCTTTTAGAGCCAGAGGGAATCATTTATTAAGCCTTATGAGACAGAAGTTCCCAATCCTAGCTATTTAAGTGGACTCACCGGGTAGACACAGTTTGCATAAATAAAATGGTACTTGGGTTGATTATAACACTTCAGGGATTTCAAAACACTTGACAAACTCTGTGTCATTAATTCTGGGATATCACGGTGAGGGGAAATAAACAAGAGTAAAGTTAAGGAATTCTCAAAGACAAGAATGTATCCAGTAGGTACTGACAGCAGTGATAACTAATGTGTACGGTGTTTTTACTTGGTGCCTGATATATTTTTATAAAATTTTTCATATATCATCTCATTTGAAACGGGACCCAGTTTTTCTTACAACCAATCTCATTCTCTCCCTTATCAGTGGTAGGTTTATATTACGGTTTCAGTTGGCAAAATCATAGGCTTTGTGATTGGCCTCTTAATCTCGGTGGCTTCCCCCCACCCCCACCCCCACACCACCACTGTTATCACTTAGCAGAGATTATGGTCACTAATTTTGCAAACTCCTATCCCCACTTTAAGCTCTTTATAACTTACTTTTGGTGAAGAGAGCATACAAGCCTCGTCAAAACGAGATCTTTGAGTTAAAGCAGAAACCCAAATCGAAGACCTATCCACTTACTAGTCAAAAAATGGACATTTCAACATATGCTCATTGAGCCAGAGGCTGGAGATGCGTTGAGGACTCTCCAGTGAGGACTCTCCAGTGAGGACTCCTGGTCTCCAGAATCTCACCGTTCAGCAGAGGATCCGGACATACAAGCAGGAAACTGCAATGTCAAATGTCAGGGGCAACAGTACAGGGTGCAGACTCATTTTTAGTGCTTGTGTTTAGGTCATGTTTCTGACCTGAAGTGTGAGTCTCCTTTTAAGCATGAATATAAAAGAATGAAGGCATTGTGTGTCATAGAGGGAAGTCCCGCTGCTGTTAGTATAAATGTATTCACTTTCCGTTTCTCTGAACATCCAGAAACTCTTTTTTTTTAGTAGGATTTCCTGTTTAGTACCGTCCTTGGGAAAAAATATTGCACACTCTGTGCCTCCCATGTACGCGACCATGAAGTTTAGTAAGACGTGTACAAGGAGGAGTGTGAAGGGAAGAACTTCAGTTGGTGACTTGGTCTTGTTGTGTAATAATAGACTGACATTTCAGAGTATTTTAGCTGGAAGATAAGGAGCACTTCGCTAGCGATGGCTGGCTCCCAATAGAGCAAATAGAAAGACTTTTTGAAAATGGTTTAAGTTTGAGACACTTGGAAAGATAAGTGTGTCAATCAGGCTTGTTAGTTAGTGGTTTGCAGAAAGTGAAATGTAGTTGATTAACCTCTGGACCTCAGGGTTTATGAGGCCAATTTCGTTTTGTTTTTTTTTGTTCTTGCTAATCACTTTTAGGTAAGCTCATTGCCTCCTAGCATCGCTTTTTTAGAAGTTAGAGCGGTAGTAATTAAGCACAAACCAATCCATTTGCCAGTGGTGAGCAGGTTTCTTTTATTTGTGTGGTTCTTCATCTTTTTTTTTTTTTCCTTTTCTTTTGAGAGAGAGATAGAGAGAGAGCACAGAGGGAGAGGGAGAAGCAGGCTCCCTGCTGAGCAGGGAGCCCTATGCAGGGATGGATCCCAGGACCCTGAGATCATGACCTGAGCCTAAGGCAGATGCTTAACCCACTGAGCCACCCAGGTACTCCATGGTTTCATCTTACTTAACTTTAGATGCTTGAGTTTTGAGTAGAGATGTTACCAAATATTCCAACAGCCCACCACCTGGACTGTGCTTCCAAACCTGGATTCTCAAACATCCTGTGCACTGTAGGAGAGACCATGGGCAGATACAACAATGTTTCTGTTTTTCTTCAGTCTTACTCAGATATTTTGAAGCTAATTTGCACTAAAACAAGATTTATATTGTGGAATAGGATGCTGAATTTGTATAAACTAATCGTATAAAAACACTGATCCTTCCAAAAAAATAGATTGTTTGGAGCAAGTGGTGTTGGAACACATCCTAGAATGCTGGGCGGAGGCGCCTGTTGCCCTCACCTTCAGGAATATTCTGGCTGAAAAACTTGTGATGCACTGTCTTTGTCAATAAAATGCTGAGGACAAACGAAGAGGGGGTCCCCTGCATTAGGAGATGTTTCTCAATCTGCTTGCTTGTGCTTAAACACTTTGTATTAATTAGCACATAATATGTGCCTACTTGTTTTGAATTGTTTACTCATACATTTGAAGTTATTTCTCTTTATCTCTGAACTTTTACTTAGAGGACTTAAATAAAGCTCTTGTTTCCTTTCATCTCTGGGAGTTGTTTATCTACCGATAAGACTTCCAATCGACTTCAGCAAGACGTCTCTGAAGAGCTCTACATGTTTCGTTGCTGTCTTCAACGTTTAGAAAGAAAAGGAGAATGAGGAAATGAGCCTGTAAATGAATAATATTTTCAAAAGAAAGAGTAAACACAATTAAAGGGCAGGCTGTAGGAACAAGAGTGTTTTGTTTTGTTTTTTTTTAAAGATGTATTTCTTTGATTTAGAGAGAGCAAGTGGGCACCTGTGAGCAGAGGAGGGGGAGGGACAGAGGGAGAGAGGAAGAAAGAGGGGGAAAGGCAGACTCCCTGGGACCTTGGAGCCCAGTTGCGGGGCTTGACCTCACACGCTGAGATCATGACCTGAGCCGAAATCAAGAGTCAGATGCTCAACTGACTGAGCCACCCAGGTGCCCCAGAAAAATAGCATGTTTTAATAATAATAAAGAAATGCTACCACAATCATTCTCTCCTGCCTGTCTCCATCTCTGCCCTTCTGGTCCTTTCATTCCTCTTCATTCTCTCCATTCACACAACCCCAGGTGACAGCAACAGAGGAAATGATGTCCTCATGCTGCTTTTGTAACTTTCTGTAAATAGTCATTTAGTGGCCTGAAAAAACAAACCTCTTCTCTTTTGTGAGTTACATGTGAGGAAAGATCTTTAATGTGAGGGAGGACCACCTATCCAGCTTTCTCCCCTTCTCAGGATCTAGACACACTTGTGTTCTATTTCTTAATCATGTAGTGTTACATTGCCACTTTGTCCTTCCATCCTGAACCCAGTGGCTTCTAATAAAAAACACAGCGGTCGAAAACTGATTGTACAGATAAGAAAAGTAACAAACCACTTGCAGCGGGTTATCAATGTTGGAAAGAACAGCTGAGCCTCATGGTTTTGTTACTCCTCCGATTGTGAGGAACTTAAGAAGTTTTAAACTGGCACACTTCCTAAACTTTAAGAAAAGCTGTCCGAATTATTCACTCATTTTCTTTGAAACACAGATACTGTGGCTGGTGTCTGGAAGAAATTCATTGTCACTCCCCTCAGAGAATAAACAGATGCATTACGGTTAGATGTTTAGAGTTTTGGCTCTGGTACCTGTCTACCTGGGTTCATTTTCTGACTTCCAACCTTTTTTTTTTTTTTTTAAGATTTTATTTATTTATTTTACAGGCAGAGATCACAAGTAGGCAGAGAGACAGGCAGAGGGAGAGAGGATGAAGCAGGTTCCCCGCGGAGCAGAGCCCAATGTGTGGCTCGATCCCAGGACCCTGAGATCATGACCTGAGCCAAAAGCAGAGGCTTTAACCCACTGAGCCACCCAGGCGCCCCCTGACTTCCAACCTTATCTGATCCATTTTCTAGGAAAAATAATGCACTTGGTCCATGACTCAGTTTCCTCATTAATAAAATGGGAATAATGATGGTATCTATGTCATAAAAATTTTGCATGATTATCCTGAGGTGTAGAGGAGGGTAAAGTTTTCTTTGACTCTCTTAGGATCCCAGGTTGGGTCTGAAAATTAAACTGACAAAGATCATAGGAGAAAAGCATACAAGTTCTACATGCCACAGAATTTTCATAAGGAAATGAGGATCCGGAGAAATAGAACTGAGTATTTTTATGTTAATTTTGATTAAGAGTGGGCAGTTGTGTAGAAGATATGATGGATCCTCAAGGAGTATGAGGGGAAACTTAGCAAGTCTTGTTTGTTAGGATTCTTCTCTGATGTTCCTTTGTCTTAAGAACTAAAGATGCCTCTTTCCTCCAGGTACAGGGAGGGCACCTCCCGCGGGAGGGTTTTATGACCTGTTTCAGGGGAGAAGATGTGGGGAAATCAGAATGACCTTCTTGCTTCTGCTGTTTTCTCAAACTCCTTCAGCTTAAAGTGTTCAATATGCCAAGATACCACACTTTGGGGTAGCATGTCCTAAAATCCCATCAGAGGATTAAATTGCTTATGCATTAAATCACTTAGAATAGTAAAAATTTTCTTATTATCATTGTCCATGTTACTTTCATAATTATTATTATCCAGGGAGAGTTTTCTACCGGTAGGGTGATGTATTCGCAGAGTGAAGCTATAGCCAAAGGTGATACGTGGTAGATTTTTGCTCGCATTGGCAAATATTTATTGATCTCCGACCATGCACTAGGCACTTGGCTCGGGGCTGGAATCAATGGGAGTAACAAGACAAACCAGGTCCCTGATCTTCTTGGGCTTTTTGAGGTGGGAGATGAAGGTTGAAATAACATGAATTTGGATGATTAGCAAACAAGTGAATTAATTATCCCTTTTGCAAATGAGTTTATCAAGGATACAATAACTCCTTTTACTATTTCAGAAAGGTTGAAGAATCACTTGAAATGTGTCTATCACGGGGACAGAATTTTCATCTTTCCCTCTTCAAAGAGAGAAAGAGTAGGAGGTTAGCTTTGTAGCTGAGGGAACGTAGACTAGCAATGAGATGCCTAGAGGTGGGGTTATTGCCCATCAGAATGAATGAACAGGGAGGGCTGAAGAATTTCATTAAATTATTCTTTCACTTTCAAGAATTTGTTCGGCAGTACAAAGTGTGTGATTCTGCAAAGGAAGTGGAATGGGGGGGGGGGTTGATGACAATTCTCTCCAAGATTCACTATCAGTGACACTACGTTTTTGTTTGTTTTTACTAAGAAGAATAAAAAATATACTGTT